CAGATTAAAGGAGGTGAAGGCAATAGGGCCCAGTTTCCAATTAGATAGTGGTCAACGCAATGGCCTGATATTTACTGAGCTCTTACTTTGTGCAAGGCATTGGGATGAGCTTTTTTACAAAGTCTCTCATCTCAATTGCAAGTCATGAGAAACCTGACCAATAGAGCCTTAATCCCCAGCGGCATTTATTGTTTATTTAACAGGAAGTCTGGAGACAAGGCAAACCAGTCCTGGCTTGGCAAGATCAACAGTATTATCAAGGAAAAAGGCTCTTTCTCTCTTAACGCCTTCATCCTCCCAAGTGGATTGACTTTCACTCTTAGCTTCACAAGATGGCTACCACTATGCCAGACATCACATCTGCATTAAAGACAGGAAGGAGGCAGGGGGTGAGGGGGGACACCTGGGGGCTCAGTCAGTGAAGCGACTGACTCTTGATTTCTGCTCAGGTCGTGGTCTCATGGTTTGTGAGTTCGAGCTCTGTGTCCGGCTCTGTGCTGACAGTGCAGAGCCTGCTTGGGATCCTCTCTCTCCCTCTCTCTCTGCCCCTCCCCTGCTCGCTCGCTCTCTCTCTCAAAATAAATAAAATAAACATTAAAAAAAATTAAGACAGGAAGGAGGGGGAAAGAATAGGTATGAAGGGAATTTCCCTTTCTTATATATGCCTTTCATTAGAAAGCAAAATTTTTCCAGAAGCCCCTTAACCTATATCCCGTCAATCTCACTGTGCAGAACTGGGGTTCACAGTTCTTCTAGCTGCAGAGGAGACTAGGAAAAGTGCATCTAGCTTTCACAGCCTCTATAGGGAGGCAAGCAAGAGGAGATTTGGAATGGATGTTAGCTTAGTCAAGCAACAGTGTCTGCCTTGTACATATTATTTATGTCATCCTCACGATAGATGTACAAAAGGAATACTGTAGTTATCCCCAGTCTGAAGATGAGAAAACGATAATCAAGAGACTTGCCCGAGATCGATCAGCTAATAAGTGGTTGGGCTTATAGCTTTCACCATAGAAGGCAGCCATCTAGCAAGGTGGCTAAGAAGGCAAGTTGCTGAGATAGATTGCCTTCTAGACTGAATCCAAGCTGCACCACCTTTGAGTTATATGTCTTGAGAGGTTATTTAACCTCTTTTCACCTTAGATGGCTCACCTTAATACTTATAAAGTCCCCAGAAAATTTGGCTTGGAGTAAGCACTAGAAAAGTGTTAACTAAGAAGATAGGAAGCAAGCAGCTCATTTATAACAGCCCTAAACTGGAAAGAGCCCAAATGTCTGCCACTGGAAGAGGGCATAAATAGATTGTGGTGTATTCATACAATCGAATACTATCCAGCAATGAAAAATGATGGGTTATTAAACATAAAACACAAGACAGTGTTATTACAGTGAGTGAAAGATCCAGACATAAAAGTACACACTGATTCCATGTATGTGAAGTTCAAAAGCAGACAAAACTAATATTTTGTGATAAAAATCAGAGTAAGAGTTACCGTTGGAGAGTTAAGTCTGTGAGACGGGATGAGGGAACGTTCTGGGCTGCTGGAGAGGGTATCTTTGTCTGAGTGGTGGTTATGCCAGGAAATACACGTGTAAAAATGCATTGATTTGTACCCTTAAGGTGTGTGCATCATACCGCAGGTATGTTATATTTTGATTTTAAAAGTACATAAAAAGTAAGAGAAAGAAACTCTGAAGCGTACCATTTATGCTGACTGCCATTTCTGGAGGAAACTCTTAGGAAAAAACTGGTGGTAGGAAGAAGAAGGGGGCCCACCAATGTCAAGGGTTATTCGTCTTCTCTCAGAAAGATCTGCTGTCCTGTCCCTTCAGAGGAAACTTCCTCTGAGTCATTAGCCCGGTCATGGAAATATGTTTGCACTGGAGCCATGACCTCTGGGTGATCATTGGTGAACTTTAGTGGTGAGGCAAACAGGAATACAATATCTGATTGCGTTTTGGGGCATTATCCTGTAATTAGCCAGATTGCCTACTAATTCACCAAGAAGAATGCCAGGATGCGTCATTCTGGGATGCCCTTGAGAACTGTGCTTTCAAAGGCAGACTGATGTGGAGCTCGCCATCTAAAGAGCTCCAGCTCTTTGTGTGGAACAAGGGGTCATGGATGGCACCCTGAACTAGGCACAACCTGGGGGAAGAAGTGGGCAAGTGCATTTAGGCTGAAAAGGCAGTGGTGACCTCCACCAGGGCTGCCTCGGCCACGGGGGCCATTTGAAACCTAAAAGAAGGTTCCCTGGGACACCTGGGTGGTGCCCTCAGTTAAGCGTCCAACTCCTGATTTTGTCTCAGGTCATGATCTCACAGTTCGTGGGTTTGAGTCTTTGGACATCCCCTTGGAGGTGTTAGATTTTCTTCTTCTTCCATCCTATTACCACCCACTGTACACGCCCATATCCCCCTCAACCACAGAACAGCCGATGAGAAGGTTCTCGCCCTCCCTACCTTGTCTCTTTCTCTCCATTGCTCTATCCTGAGAAACCCCAATATGGTACTTTGGAATTTTGGGTATCTGTTGGCATCCTTGCTCAGCATAGCCTCCTCCTGGAGACAGACCACCACAACCCCCCCTCAACCAAAGAGAATGAGTTTTGGGGGACATCTGACTGAACAAAGATAGATGTGGCTTCTGGGGAAAAGGAAGAAAATGTTACTTTTTTTTCTCCAGGAAGTACAACATTCTTCACAAGTGTTCTTCCCTCGTTGGCATTCACAGCACCCACGGGGAGCCTGGTGATATCATTAGTCCTGATTTTATGGATAGAGAAATTGAGTCATACTCCAGGTTTGCAGGTTCTGATTCGGCGGCTGAAAAACAGAAACATTTTTCCTCTTTTTGGACTAGAATTGCATCTCATTTCCATAAACAAAACACTGAGGAGAATATGGCTTTTCTACTTCAAACAAGTGTCTTCTTAAACACAGTTTGATGGCTTTGGGGCATACCCATTCTGTCTAGACATACGATAGCCTTCAAATACCATATGGTTGGACCAGACTCTGATTAGTAATGGTTTTGCAGATGTTAGATGAACCTTCTGAAGTGTTGGGTGCCCTCGGTTGGGCAATTTTTGTAAGTGTGAATGTCCCTAATGGTGACTTCACTCAAACTAAAGGACACTAGGACCTAGCTTTGATATTGAAAATTATATGTCATGTTAAGATGAGTTTTATTCTCTCTTTTCCTGTCTGTTTAACAGAAGGGTGGTCCATTCTGTAAAGAGATGGTAAGGCTGGCCTGTGTTTGGGCCAACTGATTGATGGCCAGCATTTCAAGAGCTGGTAACTCTGGTCTATATCATGCTCACAGAGGGGAAATTCCTGCAGTCTTCAAAGTGGAAACAAGCAAGCAAAAATAGCAAACGTCTGTTTCAAGACCTGTCTACAATTTCATATTAGCCAATGGTTTTTATGGAACTTACAGACAAATCAGAGGGAAAATGCATTTGTGCTATCAGGGCCCAGCCTATAAGCCAGAGAACATTTCTGTCTTTCAGAGGGTAGAGGATCCATGTTTGTACTCAATGAATATTTATTGAGTCCCTTCTCTGTGCCAGGCACTAAGACACACACACACACACACACACACACACACACACACACAAAACAAGCCGCAGTCTCTATTATTAGGGCTCCCAACGGATGGAAGACAAATGTGGAGAGAAATCATGGCTCAGTGTGTTTCAATTGAAATCTGTGTGAAGTGCTGTGGCAACTTCACAGAGGAGGGGAGGCTCTGGAGTTCTCGGAATTGGGATGGGAAGAGGGGATTCAGGGTGGGAAGAACAACAAATGCAAAGGCAGAGAGGTAGACAGGAGGCAATATTTCAGATTGCCAAAATATTGTCATTTTAGGGATTGAATTCCTATTATGGGCCAGGCAGTGAGGTATACGTGGTGAGCAAATCCACTAGAGTCCCTGTTCCACGTGCATTCTGGAGGCTAAAGAGGGAGGCACGCATTAAACCAAGCTTCTTGTAAGCAATTACATAGCTAACACGCGGATCGCAGTGCTCTGACGTTAAGGGACTGGGTGCTCGGAGCACATGAGAGATTGGGAGCAGGCGAGGGAGAGATGTAGCAGGAGAATCAGCGAAGGCCCTTAAGCTAACACTGGAATGATGAATAGGAGGAAGTCAGGCAGAGAAAAGAGAGAGCACTGTTTAGGCAGAAGGAATAGAATTAAGGGAAAAGCCTGGTGTGTTTTGAGGGCCTGGTGGGGCGCAAGGCTGGAGGGGCAGACTGGGATCACGGAGAGCCTTCCAGACCTTGCTGGGGATTTGCAGTTTTATCCTCAGTGGAGGGAGAAGCCAGTGTGGGCTTCCTTTCTTCCTCTCAACCGTCAGAGCGGTGTGATAGGGTCCAGCCGGCCTTTTAGGAAGCTCACCGTCGTGGCTGTCTGGCTAACCTTAGCAATCACTTAGCAGCCACGGGGCCTCTGCCAGGCAGGCCTGGCGTGATCCTCGAGACCACAGTCAAAGGCAATGCTCACGCTGACTTGGCAGCAATGGGGAAGAGCCTGACTGCGTTTTGATCGAGTTTCACTGATTGTGCCAAAGCTCTGTCACCTGTTTCCTCAGGTACTTGACGAGGCAAGGGCAGGAAAGGACATGCCGGGGGTGGGGGTGGGGGATAGGCAAGCAGCACAGGTAATCAGGCTACCTGGGACTCTGGCACTGACCCAGGCTGCTGCTCACGAAGCCCGGGAAAAGGTGCCAGTTCAGGGCACTCGTTCTCCACTGGCTGCCAACGCTCCCGACTGCTGCTGACGGCCAGTCGGGCGGGGAGACGCGAACACATGTGCACAGTGTGGACTCCCTTCCCCGGAATATCCTGTGACTCCTCTCGGCACTGGGAGAACTCACCTACCCGCCCCAGCTGTCAGCTGCCAAGTCCCTTCTCCTAGCAAGGCAAGAAACCGGGGCTGGAGCCGGACACCTTTCTTTCATCCATCCAAGTGACACAAACTAGGATATCGGTCTCTCCTATACAGCCCAATGGACGTGGACGTGAGTCCCTTTTCGATCCAACTGAGAATCTGCTCTTCTGAGCATCAGCCTGCCAGCTGCTCTCGCAACGTAAAAGCCTCAAGCTGCCCACACTTCAGGAAAGACTGCCATTCGTTAGCCTACGAGGAGGAATCTCCGATCGCGTTCGGTTGGTCATCATACCCCTAGAATTCTCATGCAGGCCAAGTCTGAGAGAGTCAATCCTTGAGTCAGTCCGTTTCAGGCATGGAGGCCTGTCACTGCCCAAGCAGCACACATCGTATCTGACCACGTGGGTCACTGTTTTTTGGAACAATGCACAATTCACCTCTAATTTAGAGATTAATGGGTTGGATTTCTTCATCCTAATTGTTCTGCCATTTTCTCAAGGAAATATTAGAACTAATTGTTTTCCTCAAGGCAAAGGGACTCTGCTTTGGGTGGGAAGGTGTATGGGGCACTGCATTACTTTAACTTACTCAACTGCCCCGTCTCCTGTGGATGCCTCCTTGCTTCCTCTGTAATGGCGGTTACTACAGTACATTCTACCACTATTTTCATGTCAAGGGCATTGTGTTTGTGTGTGTGTGTGTGTGTGTGTGTGTGTGTGTGTGTGTGTGTGGAGTAGGGGGAGCTGAGGATGGAAGGTCTACTTCCGATTCTGTCCCTAAATGATTCTTTCCAGGCAACGTGGCCCAGATCCTCCTCCTAGAAGTCTGAGGTCACTGACACCGCTTCCACTCCGAGTCTGTCCCCCGTCTGTCAAACGAGGAGCTGTACTCATTCACCACGTAGGCCCTCTCAGCTCTCAAAAATTTTTTTTAATCTGAGGAAGTATACATCCTTATCTGTTTGACTTACTCAGTTTGGTAGCCCTTGGGAGACACAAGGCCAACATGTAAGAAAGCAGAGATGATACTTCCTCAGACTCTCTCAGTGGTTCTGAACGTTGGAGTCTTAACCCCAGTGTAATGGTATTTGGAGATGGGGCTTTGGGGAAGTGATCACGATTAGATGAGATCATGAGGGTGGGGCCCTCAGGATGGGATTAGTGCCTTTGTGAGAAGAGAAAGCAGGGAGCTCGCGCTCGCTCTCTCTCTCTCTCTCTCTCTCTCTCTCTCTCTCCAGGGGGCAAGACCCTGTGAGGACACAGAAGGTGGCCATCTGTAAGTGTGGAATAGAGCTCTCACCAGAAACTGCATAGGCCCACACCTTGCTTGGACTTCCCAGGCTTCAAACTGTGAGAAATAGATTTCTGTTCTTAGAGCCGTCCAGTCGACATGGTATTTTGTTCTGGCAGCTTGAGCGGGTGAAGACAGCAGGCACTCCCTAGGACAGTGAGAATGAGCCTTGGATATCTTCACGCTGAAGATACCCACCACCGTGCAATCAGAGCAGTATGGCGTGTGTACCGTCAAATGAGGCAAATCAGAGGCTTCTGATGCCTTGTTCAAGGGAAGATAGCCAGCACGGTCACAACTTCCTGCATTGTTGTTTCGTTAGGAGTAGGAATTGCTTGAATTAGACTGGAAAGTATTTTAAGTAAGTCTTCAGAAGATACGGGGCACAGATCCTCTGTCCCTCCCCACACTCTGCCCCCCCAACTCTGTCCCTCCCCCACTCGTGTTTTCTCTGTCTCTCTCTCTCGCTCTGTCTCTCTCTCTCTCAAATAAATAAACATTTAAAAGAACCTTAAATAAGTATTCAGAAGGTAGCCATGGGAAATGACCACGTCCAGTCTTCTTTGGAAGCAGGAAGGGTAGGGGTTATTAAATAAAGTATATTAGTCAGGGTTAAACAAGAAAGTGGACATTTCTAAGCAACAAAACCAATTACTGGAGCATGTTATTTTTAGCACTGTAATGATTTCCATGGTACAGCTTTTAGCTCCACTGGAAATGACAATGCAAGTGTCACCCTGAACATCACATACCTTAAGTGGCACCTTGTGTGTTGTCATCCTTTCAGAACCAACTCAAAGGTCGTCTCTTCTGTGACTTCTCTAAATGTCCTCTGAAAATGACATTTGTATATTTTTGCATTCCATGGTCCCTATACAGATTGGATTCATTGCACTTCAGGGCTCCCACTCTAACCTGCTTTTGCTTCAGCGAGGCACTTACCACATCATATTTCAGGAAGTCAGGTGTCGTTTCCGTCATGCTGGATATTGAACTCCCTGAGGACAAAGCTATAGACATAGAAGCTACTCAATGAAAGAATGAATGAATGAATGAGTGTTTCTTTGTATATGACTTATTCCTAGTTTATCCCAGGTTTCCAAAGATTCTGACTCGCCTACCAGACTGAGACTGTTTCTGCCTCCCTCTGCCAGTCTGTTCAATGATACTGTCAACAGTAAACATTGCCATTTTTGTTCTGTGGCCACAGAATAATGAGCCATGGGAGCTACCAGGAGGCAGAGCTAGTAAGCTCCAGAGGTCACTTATGAAGGTCTAGTATTTTAATAATCTTTGTCCCAACTGTTGTTTTGTCCATATTTGAAAGATCTCTTGATCTGTATCCATCCTGAAACCATCGACACTTCAGAACTGCCAAAAGTCCGCCCTAGCAACATGGACTATTATGTGGCTAACTTAGGAGGTCTGCCCTCCTGTTTCCTAGGACAGTCGCCCTCGTGTGGTTTACGGTCTTGACCAACTCCTTTTCTGTAAGATAAAACCAAGTGCTTTGATAACAATCCAAATGTTAAATTTGGTTAAGCATGAGAAAATTATGTTTTCAGGATAGATTCTGTAGCACAACTTTTCATCAGTTGCTGAGGCTACTATGCACAAGAATGAAGAAGTAAGCAGTTTTATCCCAAGTGCCTGAATGCATCCATATACATCTTTCCCCCCCCTTCCTCTGTGCTGGAATCTAGCCCATGTTTTATTCCTTATGAATTTTGATCATGGTTGACCATTACCTATATGGTCAAGGAAATCTCCTCAGAGTATGGAGGGTTAAATAGCTGGAGACCTAACATGACATCCGGGATAGGTATATGTCATGGGAGAGTGACTTCCCTCATGTTACACCCGGTAGGCAGCCATTGCTGAGGTAGCTATGATGGGTGTGGCCATACTAAGGGATATATAGAAGAGAATAGAGAGATTCTGGGGTATTTTTGAATGAAGTTCTTAAGTTAATTCATCTTCCTCCCTTCTTCCCTTCCTCCCTTCCTTCTACAAGTACATACTGAGCACTTACTATGACCTAGCCACTGTCTGAGGCAAACAGCAATGAATAAGATCATGTCCCTATACCCTCATGGAACTTATATTCTGATAGAAGAGAGAGAGAGAAATAAATAAATAAATAAATAAATAAATAAATAAATAAATAAAATGATTTCAGGAAGAAACCATTTTATTTTACGAAACACAAAAATAACCAAAGGGTATGGTGGTTCCTCAAGCAATCAAGCATAAAATTACTATATGACCCACCACGTCCACTTCTGGGTATATGACGAATTGAAGGCAGGGTCTCAAATGGCTATTTGTATACTCAGATTCATAGCATTATTCACGGTAGCCAAAAGGTAGAAGCAGCCATCGAAGTCCATCAATGAATGCATGGATGAATACAGTGTGGCCTATATATACAATGGAATATTATTCAGCTTTAAAAAGGAAGGAAATTCTGGGTGGAATTTTCTGGGAAGGAAACTCTTGGGTGGCTCAGTTGGCTAAGCATCTGACTTTGGCTCAGGTCATGATCTTGCAGTTCATGAGTTGGAGCCCTTCATCGGGGGTCTCTGTTGTCAACACAGCAGATCTTCTGTCCCCCTCTCTCTGCCCTTCCCCTGCTTGTGCACGTGCGTGCGCTCTCTCTCTCTCCCTCTCTCTCAAAAATAAACATTTTTTTTAAAGTAAGGAAATTATGACACCTGCTACACTATAAGTGAACCATGAAGACATTATGCTAAGTGAAATAAGCCCATCATAAAAGGACAATTACAATATGATTCTACTTGCTTGCATTACCTACAGCAATCAAATTCATAGAGACAGAAAGTAGAATAGTGGTTTCCAGGACTGGGGAGAGGGAAGAAAGGAGAGTACTATTATTTAATCGTGCAGAGTTTCAGTTTGGAAAGATAAGAAAGTTCTGGAGTTGGGTTAGTGGTGATGGTTGAACAATAATGGGAAGGTACTTAATGCCACTGAACTGTACCCTTAAAGATGGTGGAAATGGTAAATGCTATGTGTATTTTAACAATTAAAAAAGTAATCTTTTAAAAAAATAAGCAAGGAGCTAGCTGGAGTAGGAATGATTATAGTTAGGATCATCTGGGAAGGCTCCTCTGAGAAGGAGGTGGCCATTTGAGTAGAGACCAACTGGAATGATGAAGAGAGCATGGGGAGACAATGGGGGATTAGTTTGGGATTTTGTTCTAGGTGCAGCAGATAGAAGGCTTTGGAGGGTTTTGACCAGTTGATGAACATGATCTGATTGATGACTTTAAAATATGCTGGCTGCTATGTGAAAAGTAACTGAAAGGGAGAAAATCTGGAAAGCAGAAGACCAATGAAGAGACTATGGCAATAGTCTAGCAAGTGACTGGTGGCTCAGGTGATGTTGAGATAATGGGGGAGGTGGTGAAAAGTGATTAAGTTGGGATGTTTTCAAGGTTGGGCCATTATAATTTGCCAATGAATTTGATGTGCAGTATGAGGGAAAGAGATGACTTAAGGTTTTGACTTAAGGTTGACTCGGTTTTTAAGCGAGCAGCTGAGTGAGAGAGGGTGCCAACGACTAGGGGAAAAGGTTGGGGGGATGATAAGGGGCATGGGAGTCAATCAAAAGATGGTTTACACAAAAAGCGAAATCAAGGGGTGCCTGAGTGGTTCAGTCAGTTGAGCGACCTACTTCAGCTCAGGTCACAATCTTGTAGTTCCTGAGTTTGAGCCCCACATCAGGCTCTGTGCTGGCAGCTCAGAGCCTAGAGCCTGCTTCAGATTCTGTGTCTCCCTCTCTCTCTGCCCATCCTCTATTCATGGTCTATCTCTCTCTCTCAAAAATAAACATTAAAATTAAAAAAAAAAATCAAAACCCAGTACTAGCAGAGTGATAGCACTTAGAAGCCATTTATTAAGTACTTGAATGAAAGAATTAGTTAATTAAATGGAATGTGTAAATGGAGGGAGGAAGGAAGAAAAAACTAATTCTAAATTTTACAAAATGTGAAGGAGAACATTTTGCAAGATGGTACGATTGTAAAGACCCCAGCTAGAATTTGAAAGAACTGGGTTCCAGTCTCAGATGATATTTCCAAACCTCAAATGCCTCCTCTCAGCTTTTATTCTGGGATTTCCCCCTTTCCTCCTTCACAAGGGATGTGTCCACATCTTGACTCATGCCAGCCGGCAAGCCCATAGCGCCAGCATCCCTGTGCATAAATGCAGAGCCCACAATCCTGGGACAGGGAACAGCCAATCAGTGAGCTCCCCTCAGAGGGACTAGCCAATCAGTAAGCTCCTCCAGCTGTGCCCTCACCAACCACGCCTTCCCCACCCTCAGCACATACCCTGGGTATCACTGCAGGCATTGGGGAACCAGCCCCTCAGCATTCTGGACAAATCCCCATAAAGGTCAGTTCCTCAGAGAGTCTCACTATTTTAAGGGCACACTTCTAAGCAAGCAGGAGACGAGTTGGGTTCATTCAGTGTGTTGGCCGGGCTCGTGTTGCCTGACCCACTAATTATTCTTACGGAGCCTTGGGGCTGGTTCCTACTAAGTCACAAAGGGAGGAGGGAGCGGTTAGCGGGAAGAAAACATTTAAAAGTCACCTGCACAATTGGGGAGGCGCAATGCAAAATGAGAAAGATCTGTGAACGTGCTATAAAGCAGCCTTGCCTCCCGGGTTTTCACGCATTCACCTCGTTTGTTCTGGCTTTTCCACAGGGCTGAGGGTCCAGAGCCTGCCTACATCAGGCCCCTTGCCTCTTTCTCTTCCGACAAACATCTCGTTGACCGGCATCTGGACAAGCTCTCCGCAAAGCCCCCCTGCCTCCCCGACCACTGGCACATCCGTCTTCCCAGTTACGACCTCGGCTCCAACACCTACACTCCCCAAGAACGTTTCCATAGAGCCCAGAGAGGAGGACACCAGCCTCCTGGCCTCTCACTGGGAACGCAAGAACACAGACCCCTCCCCAACAAGCGGGGGGCTGCACTTAACACCCACGCCCTCAGAATACAGCTCAGGCACTCCCAAGGCAAGTGTGCCACCCACAGGGTCGCAGTCCCCCTCTGAGACCCCAGCTCAGTCCCCCGCTGAGTCCCCCACGGAGTCTCCTGCTCTCACCTCCCCTCAGGCTGCAGCCTCATCACCTCCACCCCTGTCAACCTCACCCCCGGAGGCTTCGTCTGCCTCCTCTGCCAGCACCAACCACAGCTCTGCTGAGACCAGCCTCAAGCCCACAGGAGCCCCAGCCACACCAGAGTCCCCAGCAGAAGAGCACAGCTCTGACCACACACCCACTTCGCATGCCACGGCAGAGCCTGTGCCCACGGAGACGACGCCCCAAGCGACAGTGCCGGCCAAAGTGACCTGTATGCTGATCGACGTCGAGACCACTGCCTCCCCAGGGGTGATCATGCAGGAAGTGGAGCATGCTCTAAGTTCAGGTGAGTCTCAGTCCCTAGACCACTGGAGATGTTAAGAATGCGGTTCCGCTAACCCAGCACAGTAGGTTACATTTGAATTTCGCGGTGCAGTGCCTGAGCTGAATTCACAAGAATGTCCACAGAAGTGCAAACTTTGCCTTTAGTCACGTGATAATTTCTACAGGATATCTCATTATTACAGCCAGTCTTTACAATTTGTCTTCACAGATGTCACAGACAATGGCAGCAGATGAGACAGTATAAGCAAAGGGGGTGACAGTGTGGCTTTGGGGCACGCTTCCTAGGTTTTAGTTCCGGCTCCTGACCTTGGGCACGTGACTTCATCTTTTTGTGCCCTTATTTTTCCTCATCTGTAAAATGGGGACACAAGGGGTTCTATCGTACATGATCCTTGGGGAGATTCTATGCGATGCCTGTGAAGTGCTTACTTAGTAAGTGCTCAGGACGTGTCAGTTATTAGTATTTTTCTCAGTGTATTAACGAAGTGCTTACTTCATGGAAACCAGTAAAGCAAAGTAGGGAGGGGGCGGGGGGGGGCGTGTGTAGAGAACTTGGCTGATTCTTTATAGTCACTGCTAGAGTTCATGGGAAAGACAATAAATTTTACAGGGCATTGGATTTGTTTTTATTCTCCCAGCAGCCCTGTGAAGTCAGTATTATTTTTATCTTGATTTTCCAATCTCGGAAATTACAGCGGAGGGAGATTTAGGGTCTCTTCGAAGGTCCCATGTGTGTGACGTTGACGTAAAGATGGTAAACTTGAGGGTACTGAGCAGGAACAGGCTTAAGTGGGAGCGTTTGGCCTCCTGAGCAAGAAACAATAAGGTGAGAGCAGCCAGAAGGTGAAGGGGGAAATGGCTCTGTGGCCCCTTCGCTGGGACAGTCCTGCCAGAGCTGTGGGCTGCCCTGGGAGTTTTCAGAATAGAGCCACACATGACCAGCTGGAGTCAAAGGAATGGCTGTGACCGAGGAGACTTGAACTCCTGTTTAATGATGAAAACCTCTACGAACAGAAACTCCAGTAAGCAGTGGAGGTGGGGAGAGAGGGCTAAGATTAACAAGACATGATTCCTCACGGAAGATGAGTTTACTAGGGGATGACGTCCCGAAGAATTACGCGTTCTGATGTCAAAGGCCTAATATATCCGCGAGAGTCCCAAAAGAGACAGCGAGGCAGGCAAACGGGGGTAAAGGAATTAATTACGAAGGTCCAGGGTAACCACAGGGGAGCATAATAGCAGAGCTGTCGTGAGTCAGGCCTTGGAGGAGGGAACAGTCACCAGAACCCAGAAGGAGAGTCTTGTAGAACAGACCACCTTGACAGAAGCACCACCGACTCTTGGTTGAGAGAGATACAGCTAACCCTGAGAGTGAAATAAATAAACCTTCTGCCCTCCCCGTCTCCCTTCCCTTAGATATACAGCCAGAAGCCAAGAGCAGGGAAGCCCATGGATGTCGTCCATACAGGTCAGCCTCCCAGAGGGCCCATCAGAGAGCAAAGTGGAGAAGGGTACAGTAGAGAGTGGCACACCCAGTTGAAAGGCTGATTCGTCTGTGCAGCCCCCATCCCCATTGGCGCCCTGTTCACACCTCCCGCCAGCACTCATCACAGTGCCTTTCGGTGTGGTGTTGTAGGATGCTGTGCTCCCAGCCTGCAGATGACGGACCCAGTTCCTGGAACAGGGTGGGTGTTGACTCAGTGTCTGAAGGACTGTCCCGGTCAAAGGTGCCAGCAAAGTACTGGCTCAAAGTGGCCTTCGTCTCTTCTCTCTTTCCTAGTTCAGGCCACGACACCACCCCCGTGACGCCGTGTCTTCGGCTTTCTGGCTGATGGCCCTCTCTCCGCGTTCTGTCCCCTCCGGGATACTCAGACATGGTGGGTTAAGATTCCTGAGCACAGATTCTGAGCCTGCCATGCATAAATCTCCCGAATCAGACACAACCTACCACTTTCTACAAGTACCCTAGTTCCGTGGGCTGGATTATCTGAGACCATCCAGTTCCAGTGCTCTGGCCTGTGTTGTAGAACCTGTGTCTCGATGTCCTCAACTCTAAGCCAACAGAGTCAAGAGGTGCAAAATTAGTGACAGAGCTGGGTCATGAACCTTTATAGCTCTAGGGAATATTACACCCAGTAGCAACTCCGAGGTGAATTAAGGAAGGAAGGAGGGACCGATTTGAGAAGAGAGATGGGTGGCAGGGTGAAGAGAGATCGGGCCAGTGTACATTTCATAGACCAGAAAGGATTTACTCTTGTGATCTATTAAATCAAAAAACATTTCCTCTGCATCCACCAGTATACTGTGCTTGAGGCAGAGACGTGGGAGACCTGTCTTTGAATCTTTGCCGTTTGAGTAGAGAGAAAGGGCGCAAGTAACTCTTAATACCATTAGAGTGACCACATTACTTTCTAACCTGAGTATAAACGGAAGTGTGTGGAAGGATCTTTGAGCAGATGGGGTACAATCTGTTCGTTCGTTTCAAAGGTGAAGAAATTCTGTCCCAGAAGTTTGGAGGGCCTCACCCAAGGTCACACCACCCAGTGGTAGAGCTGGGCCCAGAGCCCAGATCCTTAAAACCACAATCAAGTCTTCTTTCAACAGCCGGTGTCTCTGCGCTCCCTCCTCCCCCAGCCCCGCAGGCCCAGCAGCACCCAGAGACCATGCTGGCAGGTTACCGTTTGGGGGTGTACGTGTTCAGATGCGTGAGCTGCCCTAATTGTGACAGTAATAACACCACACTTCTGTTTAGCATTTTGTCTTATTCTGCATGAAGTTCACATGGCATATCTTTATTGGCCCAGGGACTCATCCGTTCAACAAATACCGAGATACAGTCACCGATGAATAATGCTAAAACAAGGTAAATGCCACGGCAGTGAAATTTGACTAGGGGGTCAGGGAAGGTTCTGTGATGGAGGGGGCACAGGAGCGGGGTCCTAGGAGAGGAAGGGAATTTGGACCTAAAGAGAGACAGGGCAAGGGAGATCCAAGCACCTGCGTGCAAAGTAGGGAAGCAGTGGCAAAGTAGTTCAGGATCTACCCAGCAGCTGCAAGCCCCAGAATTGCTCTTGGTGAGTTTTCCAGTGCCCTCCGCGTCTACCGAGTCTAGGGGTTGAGGCCTGGCTTGATCTGACCTGTCCACAGCATTTGACAGGGATGGTCACTGCCCTGGTCTTTAAAGCGCAGTCTCCATCTGACGTCGAGGACACATCTCTCATTCCTTCACCTGCCTCGCTGACCGCTCCTCCAAGGTCCCTGCCTCTCACCCCCTCCCACACCAGAGCAACCCCAGGGCCAGTCCTGCCCTCCTCTCTGCTGACCTCTCCACACTCATTCCTGAGATGAGCTCATCCCACCACAGGACTCACCATGCCATCCACATGCTGATAACTTTGAGACAGAAAGTTCTATCCCTGTTTCCTTTCAGTGAACTAAAGACGTGTACATCCAGCTGTCAGCTAACTCGTATTTCCACGTGCGTGGCTCGTAGGCGTCTTGCACTGAATGTGTATGTGGTAAGGTCCTGAAATCCTCGGCCCCTGACCTGCTCCTCCCTCACCTTCCAGAAACCTTGGGCTAATCCTGGACTCCTTTCCTCAGAGACTCCTCATGCAGCCCATCAGAACCCAGGCTCCTCTGCCTTCGGTCACAGACACGATTTTAATATTCCTGTAATTGATCCCCACTAGCTACATCCTTGCCAGAGAGATCCTTTTAGAACCCAGGATAGAACCTGTCACTCCCCGGCTCTGACTCTCCTGTTGCTTACCTTCTGAATCAGAGCCAAAGCCAAGTTTGTGAGGCGCCTGCAGTGTTCACGTGATCTAATCTGTGCGGTCTTTCTACTCTCTTCTTCCACCTTCACCTGCAGACACACCGGCAGCCTTACCGTTTTCTGGAACATACCAGAGACACTCTTACCTCAGGTCCTTTGTACTTGCTGTTCCCTTTGCCTGAGATATTTTAAAAACCTCTAGGTCTTTCACAGCTCACTCCTTTCCATCACTCAAGACCTCGACTGTCATCCCCTCAGTGAGCCTTTGCTCTTAGCCCTTTATGAAACCGTCATCCCATCACGATCTCTTACCACTTTCTATCTCATTTATTTAGTGAGTAGGTGTGTGTTTTCTGCCATTAGAATGTCAGCTCCCTGAAAGCAAAGAGCTTGTTCACGAAGAGGAATATGTAGGCTGCATCCCCAATCCCTAGAACAGAGCCTGACACAGGGTAGCCCCTCAGTAACATTTGTTGAACATGTGAATGAAAGAGTCAGTCAACCAACACCAGAGAAGTTGTTTCATCTCCCTGAGCATTGGTCATGTCATCAATAGGATAAGAACAGTATCCACATGACTGGATTATTATAAGGTTTAATTAAGAAATTTACAGCTTAGGGGCGCCTGGGTGACTCGGTCAGTTCAGCATCAAACTCTTGATTTCAGCTTGGGTCACGATCTCACGGTCTGTGGGATCGACCCCCATCCCAGCTCCGCGCTGAGGATGCGGAGCCTGCTTGGGATTCTATCCCTCTCTCTGTGCCCCACCCCCCCCCCCAAATAAATGAAATAAACTTTAAAAAAAGAAATTTATAGCTTAGTGACTGTTGACCAATGGCCCAGTCAATATCTGTGATTATTATTTTACTATGATTTATCATCATTATTATTGCCATTTTACTATTGTTATTGTTATTTCTGTTGCTGTTACATTTATTGTAATGAAGAGTATCCACCATTTTCAACAAACTTTCATTGAGCTTTAACTATGAGTCAGGCATCTGACTAGGTACTGGGGATTTGGCCATGAATGAGACATCACTGTTCTCATGGAGCTTACAATGTAGCATGAACACAACATGGCAAGTAACCTAGTTTAGTGGATCCCAGACTGCATGGAGAGGAAACTCGCAGAAGCAGGAAACGAGATTTCAGAACAAGTGTTAGAGGACCCTGAGTAGCAGGATAAGGTGGTTTACTTTACTTGCCAGACGATTAAGAG